TAGATTTTTTTGATTTCATTTTCAAGGTAGCCCGGTGCGATCTCTCCGACCGGTGCGATCTCCGATGAAATACACACAGGTGTTGTATGAGTGGGAGCATACCGGTAACGGCAACGTAGGCTGGTACGTAACAGCTTTCCATACAGCGAGTGGTGTCGTGTTTGATGCGAGTTTGGCTATAGAGTGACGACAAGAAAGGATGTCGTTTCCATCTGAGGTACTGGTACATACGGCATCAGTTGTCTTCCGCTTTCGTTTCGGTGTTTCTCTACGGATACCAGTACGTACGAAGCAACAATAGCTTCGTGTTGTGTAAGGTGGGGTAGGATGTGGCTTGTACGTTGTGTGTCTGGTTGAGAGTATACGGTTGGCAACTTCCATACCAATTCAAATATGAAATCAACTGGCATCCCGTGTGAACCGCGACCATGCATACGTACATGCAGGGGTGGCGCTCCGCTGACACCATCCCCACATGTATAAGGAACACACATGTACCTCACTCCGGCAGCTGAAAATGAGCTCAATCTTGGGTTTGGCGGTCGGTGTGCGATCTCACTGACCCCGGTGCGTAAATGGATGTAAATCGGGCCGTTCTCGTATTTTTTTGAGCAACCCCGTGCCATCTCCCCGACCGGTGCCACCTCTCAGACCGGTCCTATCTCTCCGACTATTACGGTATATATATTAAAGCTATGTTGTTTTCTTTCCGCGTTCACCCCTTCTAAACCAAAGCCTAACAAGCAGGCTATCGGCGAGACTATGTCGGCTCCTCTCTCCCCTCCTGCAACTCCCCCTTCAACCAACTTCCCCTTCAACCTACATGAAGTAAGTCTACAAGTAAGTATGCTTAAACAACGTGGCGACGACTCGCTCAAACCTGGTGTATAATACACTCGTATAATATCTCCTCAATATACCCTGCGCAAAAACTTTGGGGTTTTCTCGATAGTTCGACATGGGAAGGTGTTGAATCTAGTATCTGCCATTTGCAACCTACATGGGAGCAGATCATCTGCGATGTTGCCTGTAAATGCAGCAGCCTACCCGCCTGGACCGTACCGTAGGTGACACTAGATACCATACCCTGGACCGATTTTCAAACATCACTTACTCCACGAAGAGAATGCGTGCATGAAACGACTGTTTCAGAAGGCTCTTGACAGAGCGGCTTCAACGCCGCCGTTTCCGGCGCTACCACGCTTCTGCTGTGAAAGAATGGAGCTTGGAAAATCGGTCGAGGGTGTGTGATATCTTGTGTCATACCTTGTTTATAGGTCTAGCCTGAGCCGGAAATGGGTAGGACTTCGACGCCTTATAGGGTGGCTGGGGGGGATTGGGGGAAACATGCTTCTTCAGACGTCGTATGGGTTGTTGTGCAGTGTTGTGCCTGGTTGGACGTTGGCAAGCTATCAATCTGGAAGCAGATGGCAGCGGCAGATCTGGATGCTGATGCGCCTACCTCTAGCGTTGCGGGGCAATCGGTTGTTTCTTTCGTGTACAGCACAGAAAGCGGTTCCGGTCATCTCGAAGCTGTGCAAAGTAGGCCTAGACCTACAGCACCTAGACTCAGCTAGATATTCCACTCGCTCTTCGTACAGCAGCAGTACATGCCCTACCGAACGGCCGGCAGCCCGGTAGCGCGCACATACAAATCGGTGCCCCCGACAACAGTCTACATTGTAGACTAATTGATTGTGCTTTCGGCGGTCCTGACATGTTTTTCTAGCAGCATTCTTCTCCTCCCCTACACACCATGAGTCCCCTGTGCGCGCAGGAACATACTCCACAGAACATACGAGCAGGCGGGCTCTGCAAGCCTGCACAGCTCGGGCTTCAGTATGCAAGCTAGCAGAGCTGAGCTAGCCGAGTACCACCTCCAAACCGTCAAGAACCGCGTGCGCGCGCGCCCAAAAAGCACGGCATGCTTTCCGAACCTTCCGGAAACCCTACCCCCGAACCCCCTAAAGATCCTTTCGCACGATTGGTAATCCGACCTCAAGATATCCATATAGCCAGCCGGTGTCTGCCTGCGGTTCTGGCTCCTCTCCGAAAACAAAAGCCAAAGCCCACAAGCAAGGTTTGATATCCCCCCGCATCCGCGTGTGACGACAACGTTTTTGTCCATCACTAGTGCTACACACACGTCGGCCCAACCGTCCTCACCACCATGTGGAATATGGTGTATGCATAATTTACCGCAAAGCAACAACTTTTGTTTTTCGAAGATCTTGGAATGGACCGATCCGTACCTAGTCTAATATAGCACAGCACGATCTTGATCGGAATCTTGTTTTTGCTTGACATGTGCGCTCCTCAAATCCTCCTCTTGTTCGTAAAGGTGTGGATGGTGTTTGCCTCTGAACAGACCGAACAATCGACGGGCTTTGGTACCTATGCGGGTTTCCCCGCTTGCCGTTGTTTGTGACACACGCCTGCTGTCGAAAAGTCGTGTAAACGGCTGTAGACGAGGTATGGTACGAAGCACGGGCACGAACGGTCCGTTGTGTGCCCTCATAAAAAAAGTACTAGAAAATGTCTTTGCGCGGGTCTCTACCTCGTGGTGTACAGAGGTGCGCGGTGCATTCATCCTGTGGTCCTGTGGGGTTCGGGATCGGAGCCCCTTCAGTTGAGGGAGGCAAGGCCGAAAGTGTACACAGCAGTGTACATGAACTGCTGTTGTTGTGCGCGCGGCGGACACAACGGAAGATGGGTGTGGGCGCGTGGGCGCCACAGCGGTAAGTCATGTATCTGTTCGGGATTCAAAAAAAAAAAAAACGATGATGCCATAAGCAGAGCACGCACGACACTTCCTCCCCCCCCCCGACACGTGCCAAAGAGGTCGTTGCGAAGGAGACCAAGCGCAGGGAGGATCTCAGCAGAGACCCAACGACTTGGCGGCCGGTAACCTATCCCCCTCCGCGGGCGACAGCGGGAAGGATACTGGCAGCTGGCGGGCGGCAGCCGTCGACCTCTTCGTTTTTTTTGTTTTTTTGGGTCGGAGAAGAAAGAGGCACCGTATATTTTGAGAACGACCTACAGCCCGCCGCTGGTTGGGCAGTGCGAGAGAGAGAGAAAGCAGCGAGAGCGTGAGAGAAAGAGAGAGAGCGACACGAGGCGTGCTCGTCACGAGGCGCAAACGTCACGAACGTGGTTCTCCGGCGGTCCGTTTGTCGCTCCACCGCTGCTAGCTTGCCGCCGCGGAGGAGAGAGGCGTCGGCACCACCATGCTGCTCGGAAGCATGGACTCATGCTTGCCACCCAAGAGTCGCAGGACGTCACTGCGACGCCCATTGAGGCAGTTGTCCCTGGGAGAGCCTCTGCCTGCGAGCCCGCTCATCTCGACACGCAATCTCGTCCCCGGGCTGAGCGAGAGCGTGGTGCAGCTAGACATCCTCGGCAAAGGTGGGTGCCGTTGGGAGGGGTAGGGGTGTCTGCTTCGTGGCGCAGTCGTTATCGCAGCAGCAGCAGCAGCACAAACACACGCGGCTGTCGACATGTGTGCACACAGGCAAGAGGCAGCAGACACTCAACTTGAACTGCTTTTGTTGACGGGGTCGGGCTGAATGCTTGCCTCGCTGCCGTTGTCGGCGAGCGGACTGCGCACTTCGTTGGGTGACTCCCAGGCCCATTCTGTCGGCAAAGCAAATGCACCTAGCAAGCGAGACACCAGCGCAGGTTCAGAGTTGCGGCAGCTATCTGCTCTGGTCCGTGGCGCTAAGGATACACGCCCAAACAAAAATGTGTTGGCTGCCCCTTCGTCCTTCTTAAAAAATGGAGACACACATTGTCATGTATGATATCATATGTGTGCACAGCGCGAGCTCTATGTGTGAAAAACGTTCGTGTTTTTCGGCAAAGGCCTGTTGCAAGCGGCGACCATGCTGACGTCTTAATTTGTTGCGGCTGCGCGGGTACCGCAGCAAGCGCACACCCTACCAGGCCTTCAGCGGACCGACCACTTGTAGCATGCATTCACCCAAAGCCTCTGGCAATCAAACAGACGAAATTTTCATTTCGAGTTTTCGAGTCACATACACACTGTGCTGCTGCTCAACGTTCATGTAAGAAAAATCCCGCTTCTACATATCTAAACTTGTTGCAAGTGTCTTGAGAGCCATATTTGCCCAATCGCTGCTGACTGATGCTGCTGTTGCACCTGGCCTCGCCGACAACAACCAACGCGCCAGGCGCGACGAGCAACGTCTTCCTGGCCGTCCACGCGGCCACCCTCAAGATGGTCGCCCTCAAGGAGGTGACCGTAAGCAACGACGCGGACCGGTGGGCCGTCCGGACCGAGATGCGCGCGCTCAAGACCCAGCGCTCCCCGCTCCTCAACTCGACCTTCACCACGAAGCTCGCGTCGTGCCCTAGGATAGTCGACTACTACGGCAGCGTCGTGAGGGAGAACGGGAACGCCTGCATAGCGGTGGAGTACGTGGCCGGCGGCAGCCTGGAGAACTGGCTGGAGAACAGCGGCGCGTCCGTGTGCCCGGAGCCGTGGTTCGCGCACATCACTCACCAGGCCCTAGAGGTGAGAGAGAGAGAGAGAGAGAGAGAGAGAGAGAGAGAGAGAGAGAGAGAGAGAGAGAGAGAGAGAGCAAAGCCCCACTCGACATGTGTATGCATAGGACGGGCTGCTGCTGTTGGTGGCCATTATTATAGTGTTGGCGTGTCGTCGTCTGTGCTTGATATGACATACTCTACCTCCTCCCACCCCCACCCCAATGATGATGTGTACACTGCTGTTCAAAAGAATGTTTGTGGGTACGACACTGCTGATGCAGCCGTGCTGCTTTTTTGTCTTGCGTATACTATACACCTATGGACGATGCGGGACAATCGGCGTTCCAAGGGTCGCCACCTTCTGTTCTTCTTTCTAATCTGTCCTCCGTGTGGTGGATCATAATAAACACCACGTTCCGCGTTCTTTTTTATTCAAGCAGTATCTACAACAGCAGTACACGCAACCGGTCTTGTCACGACGCATTACATGAAGTTGTCGTGGTCTCTGTATGTCGTCGACTATCTCAAGGCAAGCTGAATGGCGGCATCGCTACAATTTGGACGCACCATGCACGCGCATTTTATAACGCGGTTGACAGCACTCCCTGCGCACAGCAGCAAGCAGTTGGACGCACCCCAGCAGTAGCAGCAGCAGCAGCAGCAACTCGAGCTGCCGCTGCTGACCTTTTCTGTGCAAGCCTCGATAGTTGGGTCACTATTTTTGGTGTGTCGTGCGTTTGTACATCATTGAATGGGCCTGTTTTGGGCTTCAATAATTGAAATTGTTGTTGCTGTCGGCGTCTCTTCGTCCTACGCGGCTGTACGACACTCTTGGAAAGTACACACATACTGCGAACCTCACAGAAAGTTTACCCGCTCGATTGAGATATAAAACATAAAACACAACACTCGCGGGGATGCCTTTCAATTGTGTTCAGTTGTGACACTTTTGTGTCTATTGTATGTTTTTGATGTACCATCGGTCGTGATGACATGTAGCTTATCTCTACTACATGCCCAGGGGGTCTTGTTGGGACTTCTTCAAATCATGTCCTAGCTTTTGCGCCGTGATGGTTTCTCTCGCTTCCGTGTACACACATACATTCCGTGATTTTATGCTTGTCTTCATAGTCTGGCGACCTGTGGATGCACACTCAATAAATAGTGGGTTTTAAGAGTTGTTTTCCCGCCTCCTTGGAGATAACTGTAAAATAACTCATCCTCCAGTGTTGCTGGAGACTTGGACGGACTAAACAAAAGCCCGGTACACGAACAGGTTGATTTTCTTCCCCCACCCACTGCTACAGCAAATGCAGTAAAAATATTAGACGTGGGAATGCATAGATGCATAGTATCGAACGGGTAGACCTTTTCGTGATTGCTTCTTACTTCCAGTGGAACATATGGTACCGGAATTACTTTCAGATTTTATTTTTTTTTGTCTTCACTTCAAATCAGCGCTCACAGCACTAGTGCCGTTTACTCCAACCCGTGGTCACACAGAAGAGCCCCTCTCTACCCTCCCCTTCTGCGGTACTTTGCCTTCGATTTTTAATGCGAGAAGAGTTCAGCACTCTCTTCCCTCTGTGTACACACGAACTTGCGCTATCCACTAGGCCAGTAGCGGAAGCGAGAGAAAACTCACTTCGCAAGAAAAGCTCGCTTACGCCGGGATTCAAACCCCTGACCTGACCTCTAGAAGGTTTCGGGGATACCAACTAGACCACCGGAATACCAGGATGAAAAAATAAAAAAAATAACAGGGCGAAAAGGCTCGGGAGACGCCAAAGAAAAAAACCTCGAGTAAATTGCTTGCAGTGTGACACATAACCACGCTCGAGCGCTCCTCAAGAATTACCCCGTACGTACGGACAGGGCAGGGCAGGGCAGGGCAGGGCGGAGCTGCAGCAGGTCCACCAGGGGGTAAAAATATTATAATCCGAAACAACAACGTTGTATCATATGCGTACTATCTCTATCGGGTACTCTATACCAGGTGTACAATATACGGTAGTCTTTCTATGAGTACGCATCCTACAGCAGCAGCAGTTGTATCCTAAACATGATGTCGTTCCGGCTTCAGAAACAAATTGCTCTCAAGTCACGGCACACACCACAAAGAAAGCACGGGCCGAAGTAAATAGCACCTCTCCCCCCCCCGAGTCGTGCCGGAAACTGAACCGGTGCCATGACACTGAACACATACTAAACACATACATACCATGATGGGGTACACACCATACACGGGGACCAAGAACTACTGGAGTGAGAGGGGGTGCTACTGCTGTCGCAAAGTCATATGCATACAAGGTCTCCTCGTGCATTTCTGGCGAGGCATGAACACGCAATGTAGTGGAGGGTCGAGGACTTTTTTTTTGGTTTTCCCAGGACCCGAAAACCCAACTCCCGTAGCCCTTAGCGTGCAATGCCGGAGCGGGATCGTTTTTTGCCATTGGAACCCTGCTGCGGTCTCTGTGTACGACGCTAAGATGGTGAGAAGTGCAGAAGCACTTCAGGGCTTGGGGGGTTTGCTGTCTTAGCGCGACGCGTAATTTCGCCCACAAAAAGAGAGTTGTTCAATAGCAGTGCACCAAAACACCCAAGAATATGCAGATGCAGCGGTACGTATTACTCAAGTAGGGCGAAAATGGAGAGTTATGTCTTTGGTTAGGACCCACAACGACGAAGACTGCTGCTGGGGGCAAATGTTTATGGTTTGCAGACCACGCCCTGGTTGCTTGGAGGGATTTTGAATTTTTGAACTCGCCCTCTCGTTTTTTGCCCTCCCCGTATTGGTCGCCAACCATCTGGTTGGGGTGTTGGAGGCGTATTTTGCGCATACTTTCGGATTTCCGACGACGCACGCGATGGTTGAGATCTATGTATGCATAGCTGCCGACCCATCTCCAAGGGAGACCATGAGCGTATGATATGAACGATGAGCGCCGGGGGGAACCCGATTTACCTCGATGAGGTGGTGGATCGCCAACAAGTGGTCCATTTGTTTGTCAGAAAACAACGGCGATAACGTTGGAGTTTCAATCGAAGGAGTATGCTCTATACGAGAGGGAAGGCGCGTGGGTGCGCACGCGCCCCGGGCGTCCACGTTGACCTGGTCGCTATGCAGCAGCTCGGGGTTGGCGGTTTGTTTTGTGTTTTTGTCGCTCCTCCTGCGGCCTTGTTCATGCGCCAGTGGAGGTTATAGTTTGGAATGGAGCGATTGAATGCGACGGCAGCGCGTGCTCCCGCATCGCCTTGAGCAACCAACCCCCTGGACAGCACAGCCGCGCAAGTCCAAGTCCCGAAACATCCCTCGTTATCGTCTGTGTTATCATCACAGAAAGACAAACAAACCAACCACCTGATGTGTGTGTGTGTTTTTTTTTTTTTTTTTTGTGGACATCCGTCGAACTGGTTTTCACAGCTGATGCGTGCACGTGTGCCCGATATTCAGTTTGTCGTCTGTGGAAGCAAGAAAAGGGTCTTGTCGCATACCACATTAATTTCAGGTTTTATTCGCTGGGAAATTGGCGCCTGGTTTCGCTCCCCGTCGACGCGCGAGCGAGAGCGTTCGTATAGAGACGTGCAACAACCAGGCGGGAAGTTGGGGCTTCGAAAGAGACAACGAGAAATAACCATTGCGCCTGATACACGGTCATAGACCGCGCAAGCTATCACCATGGGTGCGCGTTGTGTGCGTAGGACCAGCTTTCCCGATTTCCCGCCTGCCCCACAATCCGTCCCTTCATGCGCGGCCGCGAACAAGTGAAAAATTTCAGATTTTTCCTCTGATGACCGACGACCCGACACGACATGTTCACTTCCATCCGTGTTGTTTTGTCGTGCCGTGTGTGTGTTGGTTTGTTTTTTTACCGCCAGGCCCTGGACTTCGTGCACAGCTGCGGCCGAGTCCATCGCGACGTCAAGCCTGCGAACCTTCTCATCACCAGAAACGGGGATCTCAAGCTGGGCGATTTCGGCGCCGCCGGGGTGGAAAACTCGTCGCGGATGGTGAGAGACAGAAAGCGAGAAATGAAATGATTATGACATTATATTTAGCAACCGAGTACCGGAATCAATCAGGCAACTTGTGCTAGAAGCTTCGACCAAGGCTTGCTCAAGAGTTGGCACTGAATAGCGTGAGACAACTTTTTTTTCAGAGAAGACGGAGGTGATTTTCATCCGATTTTGGACCTTTTTTTTTTCGGGTGGGGGGTGAGTTGTTGGCGGGCAGGGGGGGGGGGAGGAGGCGTTCTCCCTTGAACTGGAAGTTTTTTGCCTTCTTGCGTGTGCCATGACGTATGTGGTGCTTGTCCAATTTGAGGCGTTGGTGTTTGGTCCCTTGCCCCCGACCGCCCCCCTTGTGCTAATTAACCCCCGCCACCGCTCTTGCGTCTCTTAACGCCTCCCTCTCCGTGACGTCGTGCGATGTTTGAACCGAACAACAAAGGTGGGCACTCAGCGCTTCATGGCGCCGGAGCGGCTCAAGGGCCACCGCGCGACGGCTCAGTCGGACCTGTGGTCGCTCGGGCTGTCGCTGGCCACGGCGGCGTTCGGCGACGACTTCATCTCGCAGGGGAGCAACCAGTTCGTCCAGCTCGACATGGCGTGCCGCGTGCGCAGGCGGCTGTCGAAGACGACCACGCTCTCGGCCGAGCTGATGGACTTCCTCCACTCCTGCCTGTCCAGAGACCCGGCCCGCCGCCCGGCGCTCCGCGACCTGATGAAGCACCCGTTCCTGAGCCAGCGGCAGAACTGGCAGGCCAAGTGCCCCGAGGTGGCCCTGGCCATGCAGGACCGGAAGCGGCTGCAGAGCGGGGACGTCAGCGCGATCGAGGAGGTGCTGGACGCGCTTTGCCACGTCCGCGCGGAGGAGAACCTTATCGGCACCAGCTTCGACCCGGCGACGGCGGCCGACCTGGCGTACGAGCTCGGGGTGACCACCGATAGCCTCGTGCGCGACGTCCACCGGCGCACGCTAGAGTTCATCCGGGAGCGCGGCGGCGGCAGCGGCAGCGGCAGCGGCAGTAGCGGCAGCCTCTCCTCCTCCGGCGGCGTGAGCGATAGCGGCGACGAGAACGGCGACGAGATGCGGAGTCGAGATAGCGACGGCGGGGAGGATCGGTGGCGCACGATTAGCGGCGGCGGCGGCGGTGGAATCGCGGGGGACGAGGCGCGCCGGAGACGGAGAAGACCCGCGGCGCGTGATGATGCCGGCGGCGACGGTGGCGGAGAAACGAGGGAGGAACGGCCGGTCCACCGCGGCGGAGAAGGGCGAAGAGAAGAGAGCTGCTCTCCCCGGCCGGAGCCCCCGCCGCAGGCGGCGGCAGCGGCGGCGGCAGACGCACTGACGTTAGCCATGGACATGATACCCACGGCGACGAGAGAGGGCGACGGCAGCATTCCACGCAGCGGCGGCAACAACGCTTACCCCTTGGTTACGCCGCGGGATCGTCCGACCAGGGGAGGTGCGACGGGGGGCGCCGGCTTCGGGGGGAGACACTCGACTGTCGTGTCTTCGAACACGAGGAGTCGCAGGAGAGCGCTGGAGATGAGCCCCGCCGTGAAGCTGACGCCCCACAAGCGCAGGGGCGAAAGGAAGGCCTCCCAGACCAAGAGGAACGGGTCTTCCTGCGTGGCGAACGGCACGAGGCGTGCGGGGCGCGGGCGAGAGAAGGAGCGGGAAGCGACAGCGGCGGCGGCGGGGACAGAGCCGGAGACGTCGATATCTGGGTCCCCGCAAGAGCAAGCGACGGAGGTCGTGACGGCGGCCGCGGAGACGGCCGTGGAAGGCTTGTATGCCCGTGTGACGGGGACTGACCGCGACCACCAACGTTTCAGGGAAGCAGGCGCTGCCACTGTCGCCGGACCGGGCGCCGGCCACGTTGGCGCGGCGGCGGCGGCGGCGGCCGGCGTTGCGAGCGCGGGCATCACGGCCGCCGACGGCCTCCCCTCCTGCCGAGATAACCTCGTCCACACGGCGGCGTGCCGGCGCTCTTGGGAGCGGAAGTGCAAGCGCAACAGCAGGCCTCGGACGGCGAGTTCCCGGACCCTACCCAGCCGGGCCGACGTCCGCACGCGGTCGATGCGCGGGGTGTTCCAGCTCGCCGACGAGATGAAGGCGCAGATCGCCGTGCGGGACCGGGTGCACCGGCTACGGGTGTACCCGAGGTGCTTCTCCGGGCGGGAGGCCGTTCAGTGGATGCTGGACGGGTGCCACGCGTCCTCCGTGATGGAGGCCGAGAACATCGGCAATGAGATGATGAAGGCGTCGGTGTTCCAGCACATCCTGAACTCGCATGTCTTCGAGGACTCGTCGGTTTACTACCAGTTCACGGACGGGGACACGCCTCCCCCGCCGTCCAGGGGAAGCCGGCGGCTGCGGCAGATCGCGCGGGTCGTCGGCGGGCACGTCGCGCGGAGGCTCGTTCCCAGCGGCGGGGGTGCCGGCACGCCGCCGGTTGATGTTGACGGCCCCGGCAGCAGGCCTGTTAGCAGCAGCAGCAGATCTGTCAGCGGAGGCAGCAGACCCGTCAGCGGCAGCAGCAGATCCGGCATGGACGCCGTGCCTCGGATGGCGGCGGCGGCGGCAGGGGGCATCGGAGCGGCTGACTGCATCTGCCCCGTCGCGCCGGGAAACGGCAGCGGCTTGGCGAACCAGCACCAGGCGTCGAGGCCCGGTGATCGCGGCAGCAAGGTCAAGCGGCGCAGTCGAGGCCGCGGGTCCCAGTCGGTGCTGCAGTTGCGCCGCTTCAGCAGCAGCATGAGCACGCTGACAGTGCCGGAGACGCCGTATTAATTGAAAGCAGGCGCTTTCTCCGGAGCCGTGCTCCTTGTGAAGTGTGCGACTTAGGAAGGAGAATTGTTGGCTAGTTTCGCGGCTAGGGCCGTTCGTTGCCCCAAGCGCCCCCCCCCCCCACCCCCGCGGCCGCTGCTCGCAAAGAGTGAATGCCTGGGGCCTCTCGGTCTGTCTCCTCCGTCTTGCGAGGTTGTGGTCGAAGGGGCGTGGGACGACGCTGGAACGCTTGCCCTGTCGTTGTGGCGGTGTGGTCGGCGCCCGTTGTTTGAGGGGGGTGTAGCGCTTGGGCGCGGGAAGGACCCTTCGCACAACCTTAGCGTAGAGGTTGATCAACCCCTCCCTATCGTTGTGTCCAACTTGGTACCTGGAGCGCCGGAGGTGTACGATGCCACCGGGTTGCCCCGCCTAGGCACGTCTGGCACGTGCTGCGCCGCCTTGCCACGGTGGTGTCGGAATACAGAAGCACAATCAATGCAGGCGGCGGTGCGCCCGCAACCGATCTGGAGGATAATATTGGGATTGTTTAGATCGAAGCCTTGTTCGTACAATCTCGGCGTTGGTCGCACAAGTAGCACCGGCCGGGGTGTAGTTATTATCCAATTAGGCGCGTTAGGTGTTCTTGCGCAAAGACCCGCGGCCGGTCGCCGAGTGCGGCAGCGAGAGAGGGGTGATAGTTTTCCAACAAGGCTGCGCGTCAGGTTATGATTTTCTCTCCACCGTGCAAGTGTAGTAATTTTGTATCGGGCTTATTCGTTTCTGTACATTGCTGCCCTCGTTTTGTAGACACTGAACTTGATGCCTTTTAGTTACCCGTGGTGACTCTGTTCTTTTACTTTTTTGTGTGCTTATCGTGGTTTTGGTATCACATAAGGAAAAACGCTGCTAGTTGACTGTCGACGGAGACGGGGGCTCTTTTTATCTACATGCCTCGACCCCCCGTCCCGTCCCGTCCCTCACACCTGACGGTATATTCCGGATGGCCTCGGCCGTTTTTACCGTAGCCGTAGCACTGACGCGGTGTTGGGAATAATAGTCTCCTTGCTACAACAGGGGGGGGGAGGGGGGGGGGGGGGGGGGAACTAACCCCCCCCCCCCCAT